AGACAGAGGAGTAAAACTGGGAGTCAGGTAAAGTAGTACCATGGGAGTAGTCTTAAAATTTTCTTCCTGGGTCCCTTCCAACTGGAGGAACACAGAAAGTACAGCTAAATGTGTGCTAGGGATGACAGGGAAAAGAGGGTCGGTTGGGGGAGGTCATAGGGGCTCTCCTGAGGGAAACCGCTGCCTGTGCCCTGGCTCAGTTTCAACCTGCTCGAACTCTGATCCTTAGCCCCCACCGCTGAGAGGACGAATAGGACAGCCTTTCCTGCAAGGTAAGGAAATAAGATCCAACCTCTGCCCTGGAGTGCACACCCACTCCAGTGGGGCACATGTGTATACACGGCTGTAGCTTAAGTTTGAGGGTGTCCACACCTTCATTACACCAGCACTCTAACCTGGAACCTGGCTATAAGCTAAACCCCCACTTTGCACTGGCTGCTTCGGCTTGCTGCCCTTTTCCACCCACCCCTCGTTGGCCTCTCTCTCTAGTGTGTCTGTGCATGAACTCTCCCCTTGTCTTGACTGGAAGTCCTTGAAGCCAGAAGCTAGCCCCCTGTTTATCAGTGAAGAGATTGACAGTCTGGAGTGAATTTCAACATTAGACTAAGTAAGAGTTTACTTGATTTGAAATAGCTGTTCCAGTGTGATGACATCTAACAAAGACCTGCATGGCAATGCCAAGTTACTTTAATGAAATAAATGAGATTTTCTATTTATATTATTCCCTATCTTGAGTTTTCTTCACTGAGCTTTCCTGAGTATCACTTGGGGATAAGTAAGTGTGTAGGCAGGTGCCTGACTGTCTGTCTGTGGGTGGCTGAACTCATCACACTAGGTCAGCCCTGAGATCAATGTTAAATGCTTCATCAGCTTTATATGACATGGTGACTTTCCCTAGCCTGAAGGAGATGCCAGGCAGTGCTTTATGTGCATAGGTCTGGAATCAGTTCAGTTCTTAGTCTGTTTGTTTTACTCTTAAGTGACTATAATGGATTGAATGCTTGTGTCCTTCCCCCCACATTCATATCTTGAATCCTACCCACCCCTCTTGTGATAGTCTCGGCAGGTAGAGCCTCTGAAAGGTCAATAGGTAATGAGTTTGGAGTGTTCATGATTGGGATTAGTGCCCTATATAATCTTCCATATGAGGACACAGTAGAAGGGTTCTCACCGGAACCTGGCTGTACCAGCAGCTGGTTTCAAGCTTCCAGTATTCAGAACCCTAATAAAAAACTTCTGTTGTTTATAAACCACCCATACTCTTTGGAACATTGTTATAGCAGCCTACGTGGACTGAGACAAAAGGGTTATGCAAATTAATGAATTTTGTAAGGCTCAGTTTCTCTGTAAAATGATATACTGTGCGGACTAAATGCCATAAGGCATGTGACATGTCGAACAGATGCCAGGCTAAGGACAAGGCTTAACAATGTCAGCTGATGAATAACACGAGGTAAACATTCATTCTTTGACGCCCTTCTACCTTCCCCAGTGTCCTCCCTCTCAACATCTACGCATGTGGTAACTGTGTTTTCTCTCCATTCCCTTATGTCATTTGTTTCCCTCCATGCTACCCACTCCCTTTTCCTCTTCACTTACACCTTTACATCCCACCACCTTCCTTTCCTGAACTGGGGATAGAGGTCAGAGGCAGAGCCCTACATAGGGTTCTCCAGAGTTCCCCACCTCTGAAAAAACCATTTTCCCAAGATTCCAAACACTGGGAGAAATCTCAGCAATCACCTGGTGAAGGTCAAACCCCTCATTTCCAGGTTAGGAAACAAAACCATAGAGAGGACCTTACATGACCTCCCATGTTATTGGCCAGGTCTGAGAAAGAGCCCAGATTCTCCTTCAAAAGAAAAGGAGAAGGTCAATCCCCTGTTTCTGTCTCAACTACAATCTCCTTTCTTGCCAAAGCACTTTAGCTACTTTTTGCTCAACTGAAAAAAAAAACTGCAAATTGTACTAAGTTTTTCATCATAGAGCACTCATCTGTTCATACTAAGTTGCTTATCTTCCTGATATCAATATAAGTAATATTAATAAATTGTTGCTTTTTCTGAGAACTATTTTCTAAGCAGTGTGTTAAGACCAACTGATTTATTGGATTTTCCCCCTTTGGTGTTCATTTTAAATTTGCAGCATTGGAACAACTTTCTGACTTCTGGCCAAAATGAGTAAAAGCAAAAAGACAAAAATGTTTTCTAGTGTTTCTCCCCAAATTACCACTGTTGTATTATACAAATCACATTTCTAAGCCCCCATTTCTCACCTTCAATGCTGATATGAAAAGAGAAAAAAGTACAGGTCCAGCTTCCAGCTTTCAAATTTGATTTTATAGAATGCTAGTCTTTAAAAGTTAGAGGATGTAGAAAAAGAATTTTCTAAATTTCCTTGATACCATTTAACATTTAAAGGGTCATAAAAGTGGACCTGAGTGCTAAGCCATTCGTAAAGGGAATCTAAGTTGAACAAAAGGGGTGTTATTGCTGCACAGAAAAGATGAATGTACCTTTTTTCTTTTCTAATCCATGGGAAAGCCAGGAGAAGAAAAAACAAGTTAGTGAGGAAAAAATGAGTCATGTGTGACCTGCATCTTCATTCAGGGCTAAGACTAGAGACGAAAGTTAAATTGAGGGAAAGGAATCCTGAGAAGAAACAAACTATGTTCTGCTCCTCATTTGAGACTCAAGCAAAAGGGCCCTCAGATGAGTGGTCCAGCCACATTAAGCAATGAAGAAGAGAAAAAGCATCATGTACTCTCAGCATTCAGCTTGGAGGAAGTCAAATTCACCCCCACAAGATCAAAGTGATAAACCAAGAAGCTATGGGAGAAAAGTCATTGCCACATCTTGCCAAGGTCCCTTGTATCTGTCTTCCAAAAATTGTATGTAGGTGATGACATTGTTATGGCAACAAGTGACAGAAGGGTCTGACAATTAGTACAACTAATCCAGAACAGACAGTCCAGATTCTGTAGGTACCTTCTGCCTCTTGCCTGATCATCAAAGCTCTCAAGTCAGAGTAAAGAAAAACATTAAGCACAGTAAAATAGCTTTTATTGACATTGTCAACATCGCCTAACAGATGCAGCACTGATTTTTAGCTAGAGAAACCTCTGATGTCGTTAGGACCCTGCCCAGCTGTGGGCTACAATATTGACAGTCACTAGCTCATGACATCAACAGTTATGTGATGGCGTGCCCAGAGCTACGTAAGAATTACAAAGGAGGGAAGATATTTCAATAAAGGATAATTTGAACTAAAAACACAGCATGCTTATCAGGCAGAGGATCTGCATGAGTGCCCTTGACCACCTCAGCACAGAGGAGATGGAGACATCATTCCCAGTCCTTGGGGGTACAGATGCAGCTGATTTAAAAGTCAAATGGCCCTGAGAAGGAATGGTCTGACTAGTGTTCAGGAAAGGCCTGTGGCTGAGACACAGAGGGATCTGCAGGGCCACCAAAGCTAAGGTGGGAGCTGGCAGCAAGTCAGAAGGGAAGATAATGGAGCCCTGGCTGAACCAGAAAAAGACACAGCTCCCCAAGCACAGACCAAGATCAAGGTCTGGCCAATTCCATTCTTGGTGGCATGATGATGGCTGACTTCTCACTGAACTCACAAGGCCTTTCCTTAGAGTGTGTATGCATTGAGAGATCTCTTTTTTAAGGCTTCTAATGCTATGATTAATGGGATTAGCCCTACCCTCATGACACCATCTAACCCTAATTACTCCCCGAAGGCTCCATCTGTAAATACCATGAACATATGAATTGGGTGGAAGGGAAACAAGCATTCGGTCCATAATATAATCCTGATCATAGGTGAGCAAATCCAAAACTCAGTCTACTATTGCTACAAGTTCCCACACCTGCCATTACAGAACACCAAGGAACCTCTTCTTACCCTCAAACATAACAGCTCTTTAAACTAAGGTTTCTTTCCTAACCCAGGGGACTAAGGCAGTTATGGTGAAAGTGGTGGGAGGTCACAAGGGAGATTTGGTCAGTTGTAGCAAACATTAACATCACATTTCTTTTGCACAAGTGGATATAGCTTGATAGTTTTTGGCCCTGTTATAAGAAGGGAAACTAATCAACCATAACTTTATCATATGCAAATCCACTACATTTTTAAGGTATTTCTTCTCCACCTGTTTTGCAGTGCATAATTGTTTTAAATAGCTATATCATGTATCATTTGCTTTTTGTAAAACTCATCAAAATTGATTTTTTTCTGTCTTTCTGAATTATCCATATTAATGAAGCACAAGCTTTGGTCTATACTCTAGAAGTTGCAAGTAACAAAGTCAACTCCAGCAGCTGAACTAGGGGGTTAAATGAAGGAAGCTCGGGACGGTTCATTGAGCTGCAGCACCCAGGCAGCCTAAGTGCTGAAGTCAGAGGCTTGACATCACTATAACTTTACACTGCTCAATCTCCTTCCAGACTTTTACACATGGTGAAGGCTATGCCACTGCAAATACAGGTTAGCAGTCATACAGCTCACCACTACAAAAAGGAAAATAGTCTTTCCATCAGAAAATATTCAAGGGCAGGTCTTTGATCTAGATGGATCAAGTATCCATCCTGGACTCAACACTATAATTAAAAAGATGGAATAATGTGCATCTTTCTGAGTTGCTTTTTCAATCCTTTGATTGGCAGAAGGGAGAGGTAAAATCTGTTAATAGAAGAAGGTAACATCTACACATAATTGATGTAAACAGAAAGGTTTATCACTTCATTTATATTCTATTTTGCTGTTTGAAATTATGCTATTTAAAATTATTTGTATATGGCCATGATCTTTTTTTTTTTTTTTTTTAAGATTTATGCATACAGAACTGGGGTACAAGCCATAGGTGCAGGGGTGGTGAGAGGATTCACCGGAGGCAGAGTAGGGAGCAGAACAGGTTGACTGATGAAGCACACTGCTGAGGGGAGCAGCGGGTAGGTCAGGAGAGGTCTGGTTCACCATGTGGAGCAGCTGCCGCCAGCTTGTAGTGCTGTGCTTTAACCCGCTGTGCCACCAGCGAGGGCCAGACATGTTCTTCTTTGGGATGTGTTGCCTACAAAAGAAGGGAACTCATGTTTATCGATCACCTTTGCACCAGAAGGTGAGCCTAACTAGGTACATTTCCATTAGCCACATTTTCCAAACAGGCAGGCTAAGGAGTTAGATGACTCACGTAAAGTGATTCAGCTACTAAGTGGCATTTACTTAAAAGCCTGCATTGATATTTTTAAGGTAACTTTGGTTTACAACTCTGCATGTTTAGGAGTACAAGTTGGGACCTCTTCAAATGTATGTTATACCACACCAACCACCAAGGCATGGATAAATCTCCACTCCAGTCCACTGAATCTCCTCCACCCTTTCTTCCCACACCTTTCCCCTCTGGTAACCTCAATTTTGCAAGACGTATCCAAGGGTTTGTTTTGGAAAAACTGCATCTTGATTAAGATCAATGCGTCAGTGCAAATTGCTAAGGAAAATGCTTTTTAAAAACTGTAAGAAAGAGTACATAGGATAAAACCTGAGAACTACAACTGAAGGAGAAGAGAAATGATGGTCATCTTCCATCTCCCCCTTCTACAGCAGTTCCTTTTTCTCAGACTGAGAGTTTGGGGTCTTCCTAAACTTTGGTTCTCCTACAAGGAAATTCATGATGATATTGTTTTCAGAACCCAATACCATATCCTCCTGTCTCTACTTGCAAGAAAATAGCTGGGCTCCCACTACATGTAATTGGTGTTAACAGTGATTTATTATGTGCCCAGTTCTCCAGATGGTCCTTCATATGGAAATTATTTTTCTTGAAAAGGGAAAAATAGGGATTTTCTTTCCTCATCAGGTTATGACAAGTCTACAATCCACTCCATCAAAACTAAAACTAAAAACTTTGATGAAATTCCTTTAAGAAAGAGAGAAACACACACATTCCATCTGGTAAATAATTGCTGGTGTTGCATTCCTGTGCATTCAGGCAGGAGCTAACTTCTGTACAGCATAAAGCTGTGAAAATGTCTAGGCTTACTGGGGCAATATGATATAAGATCTACTTAGATCTCTCATGTCCTCAAATTGCAGCCTTCTATATATAGGTGAATCCTAGACTCTCAAATCACCCACAATCAGATGAGCTACACAGGGATAAGATTATTCCAAGATGTCTGAGAATTTTCATTTTTATGTTCAAAAACTCATATGGATTAACGCAACTCTTATTCTTCAAGAGTGAAAAAGAATGTTTGCGAAGGTCATTTTCATATGACCAGAGTTGAAAAGCAAACTCAGATGTAGCTCTAAGTTACATTTTCTTCCTGAAGAACAATTTGCAAAATCATTTTCAAAAACTTGCTGTTAGTCGTGTGATGGAATGCTTAGGAAAGATAAAGCATTCAACAGTAAAATGTGAGTTACCAAAAGTACTTAAGGCAGTTAATTTGTAGCAGGTTAATTTCCACTATGAATCTTATGGTTTTTAAGCAGGAAGAACTCTGTAGAAACTCTCCACCAAAGAAACATTCTCTGTATATGTTCCCTGTCTCTGAAATTTTAGGCAGAAGAGTTATGCATGAGAAATATTGTAGGGCAGATCTAAGAATTTGGGGAATAGGGCAAAAAATAGGGGTTACAGACTCAAATACCTTTAGGTGTTGGGCAGATAAATTGTATATTTCAATGTTGAGTCACTGAAACATAGATCAAACAGGAAAGGACTGGACAGATAAGCCCACTTAAAGGCAATCACACCCAGTATTAAGGAAAAAAAAAAAAAAAAGCAACAGCCTGGCCAAATAAGACTCTCAGCAGAATTTACCTGTTGATTAAAAGAATAGTTTGCCATGACTAGAATAGAAAATCCTTAAGCTTTTTATGACTGCTGAGTTCTGTGACTTTGTATACAGAAATGTATACATTTTATCTACCAAGAGTCAAATACTTGTGTTCACTGGAGTGGTAGAGGAAGGACTGCCTAGAATATAAAATTTACTCTCTATCTTCTAAACAAACTTTGGAAATTCTAGGCAAATGGGAATGCTAGGCAAAATTCAAAAGAAGCATTGCCAACTTCCTGAGAGTGTCCACCAACAGTCACAGAGTAAGCAAGAGTGACTTGGGTATTAAAGGACAAACATTGAGAGTAGAGTTGTCAGGCAGTGAGAACAGCATAAAAAATAATATCCAAAAGATGGGATGTGGGCGTCTTCCTTAGCTTCTTTGAAAAGAACCTTTCAACCTCTCTCAGGTATGCTAAAACTAGCTTCTTGTCACCCATTCCATTCTGAGCTTGGGTCCTACCCCCTTCACAACTTCTGACCTCTCTTAGAACTAAATTCCTTTCCAGCAGCCAGTTCTGCTGGACTCAGGGCCCTGAAAATCCCGCTGCTATGGCCCACTCCACACCACAGTCCCATTGCCTGTTTGCAGACTTATCAACCTGCTGCTAACTGGGTCACCTCTCGTACAATCACCCACATATCTAAACCAACAAGTGGATGGGGCTCATTTTCAAGAGAAGAGGGTAATTCTGAAAACTTGATGATCAGAGGTAAGGAGGCAGAAACAATTTTCAGAATTTGTATGTCACTGAAACAACTTGGTATTTGTTTAATAGCAAATGTGCCCTGATTTTGCACTAGTTGCATCAGTAGCTAACAGTGACTAATTGCTCATTAGGTGCCAAAATCTTTGGTACACAGACCCTGATTTGCCTCCTTACTACAACATCTAACATGGGGTCCGTTCTTATCCCCCTCTTTCAAGATGAGCAGAGTTTCAAAGGGTGAAATAACATGCCCAAAGGCACATGACCAAGGAGGGACATAAGTTCACACCCAAGTCTTCTGTCGACAGAAATTGACTCCACCCAGGAAGCATTGCACAATCGTTCTTCATATTAGTGTGCCATTCCTGTGGATCAGCAAACCCACACTCCTCTGCCCAGAGGCACCTACAGGCCTATCATTCCATAGAGGAATGGTCCCCATCCCAAACAAAGCACCCTTTTGGTGCTGAATTTGTATCACCTGTTTTTCAAATAGCACAGCATTAACACCACTTATTATCTCCTGAGGCACTTAAAAAAAAATAATCACCGATGACTCGGTCCACCCCCTAGAGATTCAGATTTAATTGGCTTGGTTTCAAACCAGACATCAGTATAGCAGGCCTTTCAATAATGTTGTTTTCAAACCAGACATCAGTATAGCAGGCCTTTCAATTGTGTTGTTTTGTTTTAATGCTAGTGAGAAAAAAGTTGATTTCCAGCAGGGTCACTGACTGTGGCATTTGGGTATTCTCTCTATGCTTTCCTGGGCTTTCTCCTGATATGCTGGTTTCTATCCATATCCCAAAGATATGTATGTTAAGTTCATTGCTGTGTCTAAATTGTTCCAATCTGAGTGGGTGTGGGCATGCTCTGGGATAGAAGAGCATCCTGCCCAGCCAGGGTTGGTTCCTGGATTGTGCTGAGATGCCAGGATAGGCTCTGGCTACCCACAATACTAAAAAGGAAATAAGCAGCTTGGAAAATAAATGAATGCATAAATATTATTGTTTAATATTAGATGTATCCTTTGGTAATGTTTTGTGACTGGGAATATGCCATGCCATAGGAACTTCACTCTCCTTTATATCAGTTCACCTGTGGCAAAATAGTTTCATTATATGTCACTTAAAGTCTCAGCTCCCAACAATGTATTGAGAACTTTAAGTGGGGACTTACAGTGTCCAGTAAGATCACGCCACATGACCCTATTGTGCAAGAAGGGCTGAGGACACAGGCAGTGAAAAGTGATTGAGAGCCAGGGTTTGGGGTTCAGTTGAAGAAGGTGAAGAAGGGGGCTGGGCAGGCACTCCTGGCAACTTGCTTTCAAATGCCTTTCAGAGACAGAGTTAACAGACAGGTTTGAAGTAAATAGAATAAATATAAGGAATGCTGGAATTGGACAGAAGATGCTTAATGAAGGTCATTCAAGTTTATTAAAAGTCACAAGAACAACAGCTGCCACCAAAGATAGGGTGCCCAAACTTGCAGGTAGGATATCAATTTGTACTTCAGGAGCTACACCTCCAATTAAACAGAGCCAGGTCGAGAACTACTTGCTGCTTCTGTACAGGTTGAGTTGAAAGCAGCCACTTCTCTCCCATCAGAAGCCAAAGGTATCAAAGACACTGGCTGTGATGGTGAAGAACCTGCAAATCATTTCTAGACTTGTTAGAAATAGAAGAGCATCTAGTGGTTAAAAGTGCCCACCTGGTCTTGCCTGGTAGTGCAGCAGGTTAAAGCACAGCACTAAGAAGCTAAAGCCACTTCAGCATGAGTTTGATCCCCAGCCCAGGAGGTGATCCACATGGCACAGCAGACTTTTCCCACCCGCTGCTCCCCTCAGCAGTGTACTTCACCTGTCTGCCTGTTCTGCTCCCCACTCTGTCTCTGGTAAATCATCTCACTGCCCCTGCACCTCTGGCCTGTACCCAAGTTCCATATGCATAATAAATAAATCTTAAAAAAAAAAAATGCCCACTTACCTGACAGACAGCTCTTGCTCCAAGTCCCTCTCTGCCAGAGTCCTGTTGTGCTGACTTAATTCATTTCTCCAAGCTAGTTTCCTCACATGTAATGCGTAGAGAAGGTTGTCAACCTCCTTTCATATTATTGAGGTGATTAAAAGAATGAGGCACAGAGTATTCAGCACTGTGCCTCCATTCTTAGTAAGCACCCCGGATATATCTGCCTTTGTTTTATTTCACCATTCTTCAACAAAGTAAGAGGAGCCTCAAGCACTGATTCTCCCTGTGCCCTGGAAAATCAGTTACACTAGAGCTACACAGTTCACCCTAGTCTATTACCTCATACCTCATTTGGATTCAGTCACAAGCATTGAGAATCCTGTTTGAAAGAGATAGTGAGAGGTGAGATAAAGGGTGTAAAATGACCAAAAAATAAAGGTGGAGGATTTGTTTCTGGCCTGTTCTCAGGGAGCCTAGGACTGATGATTTGTTGAGTGGGGTACAGAAAGGTGACCTAGGACTCCTCTCATATCTTTGGACTCCAAGGCCTTCGAGACTGCCAGCAGCTTACAGGACTCACTCAAAAAAAATAAGGAAAAAACAAAACAAAACAAAACAAAACACAGAAAGGATGGTGTGCTTGAGCAGAAGAGAAGGACTTTCTGAATTTATCTGGGGATGTTTACTCTCAGAGTTTCTACAAATGAGAACATGGGTTCTACAAATGAGTACATGGATTTTGCCATGGAGAGACCAAGAAGTTAGACCACAGAACACAGGCATGAGATAGTGATTGGCCCACAGCAGACCCAAGTTTGAGTTCTGGGAGTTCCTGGGAGCCTGGATGGGTCCAAGATTAATTCTGGTCCTTGAGCTTTAGGGAGCAAAGTTCTTAGTCCATGAGCTTTGAATGAAACTGAGTTTGTCAAGATTCCAGGTAGTGTCAGGTCTGGCCAATCAGAGGATCAATTTCTCTGGCCACAGATAGGTTCAGAAATGGGTGTAAGAACCTGTCAGAGTCAGAGAGATAAAAAGAAAATCTGTTCTTAACTTGCTTTATAGATTCATATTACAGGTCTCAAAATTCACCCTTTTGAGATATACAATTCAATGATTTTTGGTAAATTTATGGTGTAACCATCACAGATGTTTGGTTTTAGAATATTTCCTTAATCTCCCAAAATTTCTCATTTGCATTTGCAGTCTTTAGAAGACTAAAGACTGGCCCAGTCTTCTTGACTGGGCCAGATTGTAGGAATGATGATAGGGACCTAGAGCTACAAGGCTCCATCATAAAGAACCTAAGAATGACGCAGTAACTGCAGAAGGTGGAGCCAAGTGATGGAAAGAAACTGAGTACTCACTTTACTGGTTCAGACTCTGATCAAAACAAACCTCAAGACTGTTCCAGAATCCTTACACAATATAGATAACCTATATATATTTAAAAAAAAATCCTATTGACCATTTTTGGTAATATCCCCTAATTAAAAACTACTAAGCTCAACAATCTCCCGGGTTTTCCCATATAGAGTTGCCAGATTTAGCAAATAAAAAACAAGATCTCCTGTTAAATTTGAATTTCAGATAATTAACAAAACTTGGGGGGGGGTGCTAATATGTGTCATGAGATGTTTGGTCTCTGGAACGTATAGAAAGTAATTAGGTAAGGTTTTATGCTCATGGTTAGGAACAGAGTCACACCTTGAAACTGGCCCAGATATAGAAATCAGACAGATAATCTTAGTTTGAGTCTCTGCACTGACTGTGTGATCTTAGCAAATTAATTATCACTGACCTCTGTAGTGACAATATCTATCCTATAAAGTTGCTTAAAGAATGAAAGAATTAGAGATAAACAGGCATAATGTTTCCCTCTTAGCAGGTTTTAATAATGCTTAGCCATTTATTACTATGACTGATTATGTTCAGTTGATTTGAAGAAAAAAATCGTTATCACTGAGACCTTTATGAATATACTCTCAACTTGTAAATTGGCATTATGAAATGCCCAAGATTATAGTTAATAGTTCCAGGTAATGTGGACAAAGTGAGACTGAGCACTGACCTTCTATCAAACAATACCTCTATGTCTAGGAGAACAAAACCACAATAAAAATTAACAGATTATCCAGAATAAATAAAGGAAGGAAGTTCTTTCATTTCATTCAGAATGAAATGCCATTTGTTATACTGACTTTTCTAATGTCAAAGGTAAACATTTGTTCAGGTTTTATAGGGTCACTTTACAGAGGGGTAGGCTATCACCTGAGCAGTAGAAAGACTTCAGCCCTGACCTAGTTTAGCTCTCTTCTAAATTAAAAATGCTTTTGTTTCTTGAAATTTTGCATACACCTCTGCTTAAAAACTAATACACAAGGTATCAAAACTTTAATGGTCATTAAAAGCAAACAATTCTCTCCAGAAATATCTATGTAGACAAAAACCTTGAGATAATTTCATTAATGAATTTAAAGAGGTTTATATGGAAAATAAACTGACAAATTTTCAACTGATATCAACAACTTACTTTAAGCCCCCTACTGTTATTTCATTGCGTATCCCATATACATTTATCATTCAGCATGTATTATGTAACAGTGTCTGTCTATTCACTGAGGAGTGAATACAGCAGGTGAGTGAACAAAACAGTCCCAAAACCTTGCTTTTGTGGGGTTTATGTTTTGGGATAAAGAGAAAAGTATAAACATGCTAAATCAGGGAGTTATGTTGATGGACAGTGCATCTCTGGGAAGGTGACATTTAAGGAAAGGAGTTGAAGCAAGGAGTCGTGCTGATCTGGGGAAGAGAAAGGAAATGTTTAGCACAAAGGAACTAAAAGCAGGCGCTTGGCTGCAGTGTTCCAAGAATGGCAAGGAGGCCAGCCAAGTGGAGAGAGAGAACAAAGAGAGGAGGTGGGAGGTAGTGAAAAGTATTGTCATAACCATAGTAAAAGGCTGCAGGAATCTAACATCCAAATTTTGAGTCTTAATTTATTTACTCTATGTCTGCAGAGAAATTTTAAGCTACTTCAGATGGAATGATGGTTCTTAACTTTAAGAGAGGATAGGCTTGAGATTTCTCACAAAACTGTAACTAGAGGGAATCACTACAGCTCATTGATAATGCATGTGCTTTAATTCACAATTTGAATTCATATTCTGATTTCATTACTTGTTGGATGTGTGCCCTTGGGCAAGTTACTTAACCTCTCTGTGCTTCAATTTCCATCTTCAGGAAATGAGGCAGCTAAAAGTGCCACCCTGCCCCTAGCCTTTAGAATTATTGTGAGGGTTGCATGAGGTAGTTCAAGTAAAATGCTTAGCATAGTGCTTGGCACATATAGTACCAAATCAACATTGCTATTATTTCTTAAAAAGTATAATAAGGAGAATTTTATAGTTTGCATTGTCTATTCAGCATAATTTAAATGCATATTTAATAACCTAAAACATGGTTTTCAGTAAAAATATCTTGTTACTAATAATAATGCGAGCCAAACTCCAAGATGATCCCTGTCTCTTGGGTATTTAACCTCTTGTCAGTCCACTTCTACATCATATCAGGGAGCTGCATGACCCCAGGAGGTGGCAGAAGTGATTTATATCACTTTTGAGATTAGATTGTAAAAGACATTGCAGTCTTTCTCTCTCTCTTCTTTTTCTCGGGGAAGCCAGCTCCCTTGTCATGAGCAGCCCTATGAAAAGGAACTCTATGAATAGGAACATATGATAATGAACTGAATATTTAGTTATATATGTGGATACATATATAATTATACATATGTATGTATGTATATGTGGGTTTATATATAGTAGCAGTACATGTGTATCGGTACCTATAAATTTTAGTTAACTTTTGAGTATAAAGAAGTTATCATACTTAATTTCTGTCACTTTTAATGTTTAAAAATAACCATTGATCTTTGGTAATTTACAAGCTTTTTTTTTTAAAAAAAATGACTGTTATCAGTGTATATATCAGCATATACATTCATTTTCTATCTGATTTTTCCCCCTAGAATTACTTTATATGTACCAAGAGGTGTACCATTCTCAGCATTTTACTGACTATACAGTATTCTTCCCCAATGCTATGTCAAACCATCTAAATACATTCCCTGTTTATATTAGGGAAATTTAAGTTGTTTCCAATTTTTTAAAATAATGACTGACACAACATAATATTGCCAACTAGTCAGTAAGGTACTGAGAGCTCAGTAGATACCCAAAAGCAGACAGCACAGCAGCCTATAAGTAAATACCCAAGACATGCAATGGTTAGATAAGTGACCTGTCCTTTAGGCTGAGCTGAGGCTGTGAGAGCAAAGACTTGGATGAAACTTGCATTTAAGATAAAATAACAATAGCTTTCTAGAACCCATGTATTTGTGTTATATGCAAGTAGACAATAAAACATTGAGAATATCCTATAGGTAGTTACCTTGTCCTTATGTCTCAGAGGAGAATTTCAAGGAGAGCATTCCTGAAATAAAGCCATGGTCCTCAGACTCTGTTTCTACCTCCTCTCTTTTCACCATTCTCTTCCCCTCCTTTGGTTGTGCTTTGTCAAGCTCTACCATTGTGACTGGAAGAAAAAAAAAAGTTGACTAAGCCCTTCTTTGCTGAAATTCAGCACTATGTTATACATACCAGGTCTCCTTTGAATGTGACATTCAGACTTACTCTTATGTAACCAGATCCTAGGCGCAGGGAGCCCTCACTTCTCTAACTTGGTGGGCTTGGGTGCTTATCCTTTGACTGTACCCACGCTTCTCACAGGGTTCTGAGAACTACTGGATAAGTGAGCCATATTTAATATTTTAAAAATATCCTTTCTGGGTAAAGGAAGCTACACAATATATCAAGCAGCATTTAAAATGGCTGATTCTGGACCTTCTCTGGTAGCACAATGGTTTAGAGTGCAGCACTATGAAGCTACCTGCAGCCACTGCAACACTAGTTCCATCTCTGGCCAGGGAGGTGACCCATATGGCACAGCAGACTTTGCCTGTTTTGCCCACTGCTCCCCTCAGCAGTGTTTTTCAGTAAATCTGTCTGTCTGCTCCCACTCTGTCTCTGGTCTGTAGTTCAGTTCTTATATGCATAAATAAAATCTTTTAAAAAGTGATTGATTCTAATAGTTCACCAGGCTCACACTCATCAGTCTACACAACTAGATGTAGCCCTGACTGTGGAGGAAAGTTAGCATTATTCTTTAGTAACAAGATTGAGGTTGTGGTGACCCCAGAATTCCCTAGCAGGTTCAACTGTGATAACGCCTCAATTGAACATTGGGGCAGTCTTCTCACTCCCCTCTCTGTTCTGTGTCATTCATAAAACCTTATTTTAACTTTCATTGTGTTTGTTTGATGAAAAGCCTCTGAGGCTCTAAAGAAAGCTCAGTTGTTTGAAAACGACTGGGTTAGAGAATGGTGCTATGAGGTCAAGGTGAAAAGGTCACTAGGTCGGGGGTTCTTGCCAAGAAGAAAAAGCTTCCTTGACACTGACTCAGTGCAAAGTTATCACTACCATAATTTAAAAGTAAACAAGATGATGTACAGGTTGTCCTAGCTGGAAGTGGCTGGTGCTGAGTTCTGCAGCTGAGGCCAAATCCTGCTTCACCACAGTGGCTTTCTGCAATATCATTCCTCCCTGAAACTCTATTTTCATTCCTGAAAATGGTGATAATTATGCCCACCTCCTGAAAGATGTTTCACTGAGTAGGTTTATTGATTATTAAAATTACATTGTTTTAACAATTCATATTTCTTCCAGGCCAAAGTCTATTGCGTTACAGACACATACACACACACATTAGCCTTAAAGGTTGTTTCTAAGGGTTTCTCACCTGCATCCTTCATAGAAACTAACCCACATTTTGTTTACAGTAGGGCCTTAACAAATACTCAACAGATATTTGAGTATAAAGGCTCTAAATATAGTGGCTCTCCAGGGACAGGCTTGTACACATAATCCCTTCAGTAGGATCCTAGGAGAATGTCACACACCTTTTGAATGAGTTATAAATAATTTATAATAGTAACATAATACTGATGATTATAATTGTGAAAAAAGATTACTCTCAGCTCAAATTCCCTAAACTAGGGTGATGTCCTTCAGCAACAAATAAAATTGATTAATACAGTGTTTTAGTCGAAAGTAGATTGAACCCTAACTTACTTAGTAAAATAACTAAAGTAAATGAACGAATGCGACCTTTACCTTTCAAAGATTTGTTTCCAAAAACCAGGAATGTGGGGTTATCAAACTGTGGGTTGAAATAAATTAGGCCCTTTCTGGATTTAGAAAATAACTATTTTAACTGTTCTCTGACACAGTGAGCAACTAGATTATTTTTACATTCAATTTCCGAGTTTATAAATTCAGTAGCAACCCAACTAGAGAAATCTGAGTTACAAGTTTTGGGGATATAGGAAAGAACAAAGCAGACCATAAGGGATTACCCTCTTTTGCTTTCTCCATTTTAGTTTTCTCCAACAAGGGAGAATGAAGTACTGGTTTGCAGGAGAAAAAAACAGAGCCCTTGGCTGTAGGTAGTCCAGAGTGTAAATTACAGGTTAGTGTAATGTTAATAAATGTTCCTAAGAAAGAAGACTTCTAAACAGCAGTAAGAAAAGGGTCAGGGGTGAGGGAAAAAACAACTTCTAACAGTAAAATTTAGAAGATCCTAAGCTCAGCATTGGAAGAGGTGGTGGGGTGATGAATCCAGATATATCAACTGCACAACCGTCTTTGCCTGCAGATTACCTTGTCTTTAAGGGAGACTCACTTGTGTCTATGCTTGTATGTGCACACACGCACACACACACACACACTTGCCACCAGTTCCCTTTGAAATTCTGACATGAAGACAAGCAAAAACCCTTCCCTCTTATCTCTGTAAAAGATTTGGGAATGACAAAAAGCTTAACAATTTCAGTAACTGTGGAGTACAATAGTATTTTTTTAAAAGGTGATATGAAGCAGAGTATGAATAAGAAAATTGCTTTTAGAGCTTGTCCCAACCCTACTGGTTCCAAAGGTTTGATATGACTTTGATGATCTCTTGCCAGGGTGCCTTCCTTACTGCCTTCTGACTTACCACCTTGCTGCCATATACCCCCCATGGACCAGAGTATATGGAACACACAAGGTTCCACATTCTTACCTGTAGGACACCCAAGGCACATTACAGTTTAACTCACTTGCCAGTTTTGATTTTTTTACTGCATTCTGACAAAGGAGGCATAGTAGGTATGATTCCCATTTTACAGACAAGGAGTCTCAGGGACAAAAAACAACTGGTTACTGTTATTTGCACATAACTCCTAGTTAGGCAGATTGAGTGATTACTTGACCTGAAGGTTCACTATCCACAGTATTGATGGCACATCTTGGAACCAGGGCAGACTTAACAACAAAACTGTAAAATTTACATTCATTGTTAGTGTAGCTGATTCCAGAAGGAATGGGCACAGGAAAAATTAATTTTCATGGGAAAAAGAGGGAGAGGAGAAAGTCCTGAACATGGACACTGCAAGCAAGACCCCTCTTATTATGACCCCAAGTGTACAGTGCAGGGTCACATGATGCCATTGGGGGAGATATTGAATAAAGTAATAATGTGTTAAAAAAGGGGCCTGAAATGAAAGGAATGGGGGTACTAGGGAGTGATTGCTAATGGAGTTTCTTATTGGAATGATGAAAATATTTTGGAATTAGTTGATGGTTGTTGCACAACTGAATATATTCAAAATGACTAAATTGTATGTCTCAACAGAAAAATGACTAAAAAATGAAGTAAATTTCAAGTACAAATCCACTTGAGTGGATTTTGGGTCTAAGTCTAAGTAAAAATTCAGGATATACCATAGTTTTGATTGATTAGATTTATCTTAAGAACCTGTGAAGTGTTTATTGACAAAATGCAAGGAAGGAGAAATAAAGGGTGGAGATCACTTTTGTAGGAGACCCTGCCTCTGATTCTACCCACCCTTATTATCTTAGGAACAAATTATTTTCATAGAGTGGTGGACATTTTGCAGGAGAAGGTTTTAGAGAATCAGTACTGAATCCATATCCCTTATTCTACAGATGAAGAAATTGAAAATCAGAAAGAGTTTGCTTACTGTTACTGGTGAGTTGGCACAGGGGTCAAGGTTAAAAATGAGGTATTTTTGTTCCCACCGCCTTATCTTTGAGTTGCTCTTTGCTGAGTTTTTACAGACAGGTTGCATCAATTTCAGGAATTTGCAGGTGTGCTTTGTCTCCAACGTGTATGGATGCATCGATTTCAGTCTTTTCTCCCTCAGTCCAGCGGCTTGTCTTTTGAGCTTGCTGACTCATTACTTCAATCTACTTGCAAAAGACTGTGAAGTAAGGCCCCTTAGGGAATGTTCTGTGCTGGAGAGCTCAGAGGAAGGACCTTCACATCCTTTAAGAAAATTAGTGATTGGAGAGGTGCTTGTTTGTTTTTGTCCTAATATACTTGGTTTTAATAAATTCAGCCCTCTGTCCCAACCTAAGCTCCTTCTCAGTTTACTTACTCAAACCATCTTCAGTTTGCAAGACTCAAGGCAGTCTCTCACTTATCTCTCTCGCACCCACATCAAGTGCTCTGCCTGGAGTGACTGCCTTAGTTCATTCCTAAGTTCCCGAGGCAGACACTGTCTTCTTTGGGGATTCCTTGAACGTCTGCACCCTTCTTGACAGGAGTCCTCTCCCCTCCACCGAGGACTCGGTACTGTAGCCAAGTTGGAGCGAATGCCCAGAAGACACAGGGCAGGTCCAGAGAAAGGCGGGAAGGTTTTGGCCGCCAGCCCCGGGAGCACCTGCAGGAAGAGAGAGCCCTGCTCGCTCCAGTCGGGCTCTTAAAAGGAGCGGACAAACAAATCCATTGCCGCAGGGCAATTTCGTAGCCAAGTGGATGGAGACAGCAGGAACCAAAAGGGGGAGTTAACTGTGCCTGTCTCTGGCTTCCAGGTACCCCTCCCGGCAGAGCCTACAGAACCGAACTGGCGCCAAGTTTCAATGAGGGGTGGATGTTTTCACTCCCCTCGGGCAATAAGTAAAAAACGCGGGGGTAGAAGGAGCGTGCAGGGAGGGAGGAAGCTCCGGTCTGGTTCTCACAGCTGAAAGCCAGAGAGCCGAGGCGGGAGGTGCGCGAAGGTGCCTCGTGGGCCGGGAAGAGTCGGAGCGGCGCGCAGGCGCACTGGGGATTGCCGCCGGCCGGCTCTGGGGGGTACAAAGAGCGCGGCTGAGAGCCGGGGTTCCTTGAAGTCTGAGGAGTCGCCTAGGGCTCGGCGGGCCGAGGCGTCCCTCATACCCCGCTGTGGGACGCAGCCACTGTCGCTTCCCACTCGGCGCCTCAGGTTTTCTAGTGTCTCCCGACTTCTTGCCCTTGAGGTGGCTGCGAAGTCGGGTGCGTCCTGCGCGTTTCGGGGTTTAATTCTGCCGCTGGCCACCAGCCGGCTCCGCCCCTGCGCTCCGCCTCCTCCTCCTCTTCGGTCGGGAGGCTCAGTCTAGTCACTCAGCGGCCGGCGCGGCGCGGCAGGTTGGGAGCGGCGTCTGGAGGTGAGTGCGGCCGGGTCAACGCGGCGCTCTTTTCACCCCGTTCGGTTCGCGCTGCCCCCCTCCCTTCTTCGCCGGGCTGGGACCCAAATCCCGGGCGGGCCTCCTGGCGGAGCTGGGCAAACTTGGTGCCCCCCTGGGGGCGCGCGGTGTCGGTAGGTGAGGAGGGCAGCGCCTGCGGGGACCCGCTCGCCAGGGTCAGCCCCGAGGCCTCGGGTGGGCCTACGGGCCGGGTCCGAGAGGTCGCTCGGACTCCGCGGCCGCGCGGGTTTTTGCGCGCGCTGCAGCCGCGGGACTCGGCGGTCGGGAAGGGGAGCCCCGGGCGCCGGGCTTTGGGCGGCGGTAAAGTCCCGGGCCCCGCCACCCGGCGCGGGGTGGGGAGGGTGCGTGTGAGCCCTGGGGCTCCGGAACCCCGTGCGCGGCCCTCGGGTGCCCGCGGCCGTTTATCACGCCGTTTTGGGGTGGGACGGGACACCCTCCCGGAGGCGTCTCTCTGAGAAGTTCTGAACAGAGTTTCGCAAGAGGGCGAGGCGGGCGACCCCCCTTTATCCCGCCGTCCTAGAGCGGCAGGTGGTCCCGGCTCTTCCTCAGCTGAGTGGGAGATGGCTTCGGCCGCGCTCGGAGGAGCCAGGAGGTGGGGGGAAGATGCAGGAGCTCTGGGTCTCTCGGGAACCGGCCGCTACAGCGTGGGCTTGGAGTGTTTGTGGGGTCAGATCCTGGGAGGGTGTGAGAACCCGTGAGCGAACTTGGTCCCCTTACGTCCTTGTCTTCATGCTAATTTGGCAAACAGGGAATCTTGCGCTCACTGCAGCCAACTTCCTTTGACCATTCCTCCTTCTCCACCCGAGTCCGCGGAACTTTCGGAGGCATCTCTTGCCCTGCAGGGCTGTGCTGCGTCGGGGTGACTTGGTGAGGACTTTGAGTCAGCCTTAAAAACAACGTGTGGCGTCCCCCAGCGCTGGCTCTCTGCACATCGCCTCTAGGTTCATCTTATTAATTAATGAAATACTTTATCAAGAGTGAGAGCCCTGAGACTAGCAAGTTTCATCGTCTAGATCTGTTATTTATTTACAATTGACCCACCTTCACTCCTACCCCCAACCCCAGGGCTAATTTCCCTGGAAATCGGACCTGTTTCCTCATAGTTTAATTCGTGAGTTTAGCAACTTGAATTGTAATTGTTCATCTGGTCATCCAACTTTTTCACTAAAAAGTTGGCACTCACACATTTTATTCATTTTAAATATCATGGAATGTACAGTCCAGTGATTTTTGGTGTATTCATACAATTATGCACTTGTCATTGCTGTGTAACCTCAAGACTTTTTCCAAAAAAGAAATCTCATGCCATTATCAGTCACTCCTCATTCCCTCATTTTACGTGAAGTTTTCCCAAGAAAAAGATTGAGAGAGTTGAGAGATTTTTAACCTTGGCCCTTTTTCAGTTAATAGAGTAGGGAGGAAAGTTTCTCCAGCTGAGGCAGTAACAGAAAAGTGAAGGCTGGGCTGTCCTATGTTGAGGTGATGGTGTCTGAGGATGGAGGAGAAGCCACCTGTGGAGAACTAATTGCTTCCTTTGAAGAGAACACAAAATAGAAATGCAGTTTATCACCTTAGGGCACAGGGGTGCTTCTGGGCACTCTTTCCTGCACTCTGAATTCGCCAAGTCCATGAATCACTTTAGTTGAAGTTTTTTTTTTTTTTTAAAGATGTATTTATTTATGCATACAAGAACTAGAGTACAGGCCAGAGGTGGGGGTTGGGGGGAGGGAGTGAGAAGATTCACCAGAGACAGAGGTGGGGAGCAGAACAGGCAGATTGAATGAAATACACTGCTGAGGGGAGCACAGCTGGTTAGGAGAGGTCTACAGTGCAGAACTGGTTTGTTTTGGGGGGGAGGGGAGAGGAGGGAAGGAAGATGGTGGACTAGGTGGGTGAGAAACCATAGGGGAGGAGCTAGAGAAATACAGACTACAGTTTTGTTTTAAAATAACTTTGTTTTAAATTATCCAAACTGGCCTCAAAGAAACCACAGGCAAATGGCTACTAGAATCAATACACTAAAGACTTAGATCTTAGATTCATTTTTGTGGGTATCAGCATCTACGCACAAATAGTTCTATGGGCTACTGTGCTCTTGCTATAAACTCCTAGTTTAGGGAGGAGAAAGATGATGGGAAAGGGTCTATTTGGAAGAAATTTGAGGAATTAGGGAATGGGGTAGGAGAATGACAAAAAGGAGTTCTGTTTGTGCAAACAAAGGTCTGTTAAAAGGGAACAGGTGTATGGTGAGAAGATTCAGAAGCAGCAAAGGGGTTATCACTGAAAAATAACAAACTTCACTGGGACATTTGTTGGGTTATTTGTGCATATTTGAAAAGTCACTAAAATGTAATGTGAGCAGCATTGAAGATACCCAAATAATGCAATAACCATACTTCTGCCTTCCAGTCAATGAATACATCAACTTGTTTTCCATTGTTACAGGAAATTTTATGTGTCTTGTATGTGTGACTTGACTTATGTGACTTTTAAAATTGTTAAAATTGAACTTTAGCACACATATGAATTTTGAAGTGTACCATATAGTCAGTTCTCACAAAGTAAACCATGCAGCAGTGCTTGACACATGAAGAGTGATCAGTCACATACTTGGAGACCCAGGTGAATGGCAATTTGAGATAGTACCTTCATCCACTGGCTTGTAACTGCTGAACTGGTCTGGCCTATCTGTGGAAATGTAAGCCTGAACCCAGATTGGCTAGTTTGAATATAGGTTCTGAGATATGCTGTAGAACCATTGGCATTGTTACTGAACCTTTCTGTGCTTCAATTCCTTGTCTATGAAAAGGAGGATAATAAAAGCAACCCCTCATGGGCTTACTATGAGGATGAAAAGAATTAAAATGGAATGTCTAGAAAACTTCCTGGTACACAGTACGTGCAAAACATGCTTGTTGTTTTCTCTTTATGTTTGAATTGCTTAAGTTTATTTTTCTTCCAAATATACTGAAGTATGATTGATGGGACTGTAAGATGATTTGATATGTATATACATTATAGAAGAATTCATTCCATCTAATTAATTACCATATCCCCCATTTGTATATGAATATTTAAGTTCTAGCAAATTTCAACTATATGTCAGTGTCTTGCATTCAGTATAATTTCTGACATAATTTTTGCACATAGTAAAAATAATGCAAAAAATAAAGAGGTATTTAATATGAAAACTTAAACTCCTCTTTGATCCCACTTCAGTGAACTTCTTTTCTCAGACCTAACTGTTGCCTCTTTCTTTTTTTAGTTTTTCTGACGGTTATCATTGAACAAGTTACCTCAAAATGTAGAAACTTAGACAATTATTATTTTGGATTCTGTAGGTCAGGGATTCATCCAGGTCTTGGCTTGTCCTTTTTATATTTTTCAGATTTATTATACACACACACACACACACACACATATATACATACATACACTATGCTACAGGCCAGAGGTGCAGGGGTGAGCGGATTCACCAGAGACCGAGTGGGAAGCAGAACAGGCAGATAGACTGAAATACTGCTGAGAGGAGCAGTGGGCAAGGCAGGAGGGGTCTGCTGTGCTATGTGGGTCACCTCCCCTGCCAGGGATCACTTGTGCTGCAGTGGCTTCGGATAGCTTCCTAGTGCTGTGCTTAACCCGTTGCACAGCCAGGGAAGGCCATTGGCTGGTCCTTCTGACCCTTGTGGTGTTGACTGAGGTCTCTGTAGGTTACCAGCTGGTGAATTTGTCTGGAGGGTCCAAGAAGGCTTTTCTCCCATACTGTGTCCCTTGGCAGGAATGACTAGAAGGCCAGATTCAGTGATGACTTGACCAGAACACCTACATATGGCAACTTCAGCATGGTGACCCCAGGGAGTCAGACTGCTTACACAGGTCACCAGCTTCCCACATCTATTAATCAGGGTTCTTTTGAGAAAGAGCCAATAGGATATGCATATGATTACAGAAAGAGATTTATTATAAATAACTAGCTTAAGTGATTATGGAGGCTAAGTAAGTCCCAAAACAACAGCCTGGGCACCAGGAGAGAGTGTCACAGATGAAGAACACAGATAGCTGTCTGGAGAATTTCTTCTTACTTAGACACCAGTCTTTCTGTCTTTGTCTGGTTTTAACCTGATTTCAGAGACTCACATCATGTAGAACAATCAGCTTTACATAAAAGTTCACTGAGTAAAATGTCAATCTCATTCCCAAAACTCCCTCCACGTTGACAACCAGCTCACGGTAGGAGCTGTGAACCACTTGGAAGCTTCATTGCATTTTATGACTTCAGAGATTACTTTATTTTCATAGTTTGAAAAACCACTTGTTGGTAAGAGTGTCAAAAAATTTGCAACCTTCTTTTTAAATTGCTACAGTGTATACTTGATTCCATAAATTTGACAGTACTTTTTAAACTCCTTGCTAGGGAGAAGTGGGTTTTATCTTGCCTTCTACTGTTTTTTGTCTTCCTCACCTCTCCAACTCCAGGAAGTGATGGATATCATTAATTCTCTTATAGTTACTGGTATAATTATAAAGAAAGCCTTCCATACTTTGCAAAGCTATGGAAAACTCAGATTTTTTGGAGAAAGTATGTGTGTGTTTGTGTTTTGATGGTGGGAGGCCTGACAATGAGGTTCTTATTAAAACATTCCAACCAGGGGACATATGAGTTACCTATGAGCATATTTTCTGTGTGAGCATAACAGGGCTATCATCCAACAATTATTACTTTCTTTCTCTGGCTTTTAAATTTAGTTACCTCTTTATAATCTCCTTCCTTTGAGATTTGTATTAAAATGTATATAGATTCTAGAAGCAACTGATGTTCTCATTATGAAGAATCTTAAAATAGATAATACTGTTGAGTATTTGCGATGGATAGATAACCTAGAAAAACCTGTTAGAAATAAACATCTTCCTTGTATGTTTGTGTGTGTGTTTTATTTACAGAAGCAATCAGTTAATTGGAA